GGCGAACACAGGGTGGGGGGGGGGCGCGCCGCCCTGCCGTAGGAGGGGAGACTGGGGCTGTTCTGCGACGAGTCAGGGGGTTGTGCTAGAGGAGCTGTACAATCATGAATGGTGCGGAAAAAGCGAATGAGTTACCCTCTCCCACAATTAAAAATGAGGTCACCCGATGGACTGAATAGGCAGCAGGTTTGAGGCGAACAAGAGGAAGTGTACTTTTGCCACGCCGTTAACCTGTGGAACTCATTGCCACAGGATGTGCAATGAAAGGGAACTGTTCAAAAATGAGCTAGATAAGGTCCTGAAAGACAGGCCCATCCGTGGCTCTTAGCTAAGGTGGTTGGGGTGGAACCCCGTGCTCTGGGTGACCCGAACTATCTGACTGCCAGATGCTGGGAGGGGAAGATGATGGAGCTCTGCAAAGGTCTCTTCTCAGTGTCCTGGCCACTGTCAGAGCCCGGATAGTGGGCTAAGTGGACCTGTCTGGCTGTTCTTGTGTGCTTCCCCTTCTGCTGCCCACGCTGCGCCCGGAGGGGTTCTTTGCCTCCTGTGCAAAGAACGGGATTGTTACGTGCCCCTCACCGTGGCCTCTGGCTGTTCTGTTACTGTATGTGCTGCCACTTATCAAACCCTCTGGTTCCTTAGCGCCTTCATCCCCTCCCACGCGGGACCTGTGGAAGCTTTAGCATGTACATCATCTTTTCCAGGCGCGAAGGGCCAGGGACTGTTCGGAGTAATGGGGCTTTCACATCAGGGCTACGAGTTCAGATTCAGTCCCAGTGCAGGAGTCGTGCAGACCAATATTCCCCTATTGTCCCTTCTCTTTCAGTGCGGAGGAATGTAAACAAGTGTGCTGGGCCCTGAGGGACTTCACCCGGTTGTTTCGATAGCTCGTGCGCCCGCGCTGTGCCTGTCTCCCAGGTGAGTAGCTCCCTGCCGGGCGGGCGCCCCGCAGCACGGGCCTGCGGCCTGACGCGCCCGGGACCTCGCCCACGTCTGGGGTGAGAGGCTGGGCGAGTGGAAACGTCCACAAGCCTCGAGCACTCGACCTGCGAAGTTCTGTGCGACCCGCCCCGATCCCGCCCCGAACGCTGGCGAACGGGCTGTGGCACAGGTCACCGAAGGGGGAGCCACCTCTGGCGTGCGCTGTCCAATTCACCGCCAGGAACAACGTCCCGCACCTTGAAATCCGGTCTGTTGTGTGCTTTTACCCTCTGCAGATCTCAGCGCGTCTCCGACGGAGGGTCCCGACCCAGACGGGCGTGGCAGGGGGCTCACTGGGGCGAACGGGCTGTGGCACAGGTCACCGAAGGGGGAGCCACCTCTGGCGTGCGCTGTCCAATTCACCGCCAGGAACAACGTCCCGCACCTTGAAATCCGGTCTGTTGTGTGCTTTTACCCTCTGCAGATCTCAGCGCGTCTCCGACGGAGGGTCCCGACCCAGACGGGCGTGGCAGGGGGCTCACTGGGTTGTTGGGGGGGGTGTCACCTTATTGCCACCCCTCCTTCTGCGCTGCTGCCTTCGGAGCTGGGCGGCCGGAGAGC